CTTGATGCCAACACTAAATGCCAAATAAAGCATGTAATGATACCAAATGGTTGATAATTTAAAATAATAGTAGTTGTATACTGTGACGCTGCTGCCCACTGAAGTCCTATTGCTGAAGCAACGATAAAATATATTTTTATTCTGCTAATACATAATTTAAGTATTCATGTCAAATCCTATTGGATAGGCATAGCTTGATCAATTATTCAATATTGTCATTACTGCAATATCAATTAGTTTAATGCACACAAAAAAGTGCTTTAAAGAACTTGCTTTGTACTAGCCATTGTAATAAAAATATGCATTTGATGGCATTTGCATCAAGTCCCGGATAAATATGTTAAAAAAAAAATTCCAATCGTTTAAAATGATTAGCAAATAAAAGTAGATAGGGGTGTCAGGCCAACTCGTGAGCCTGCTGAAGCTCATCTCGATGAATTGGTCGTGAGAGGAGCTTGATGAGTTATCGAGTCAAGATTGAGCCAGGCCTCTCAACTCGTTAGCACGTAAAATGGCTTATTTAAAAATTTTAATTTGAAATACACTTAAAATATTTAGCATTTGATATTTTTTTGAGATTTTTACATACCTAACACAAAAAATTATTATAATTACATACTTAAAACCTAAACTACTATTTACATACTTACCACTTAAATTCTATTATCTTCATCTAAATTGCCATTGCGTTAACTCCCGTAAAAACCCCTACCTTGAACCTGCCTTTCACGCCTCATCACTCTCCCCGTCACTCTCCCTCTTCGCTCCAGAGATAAGCAGAGAGCCAACCATTTGCGCGTGAACAAGTAATCACGCATATTGACCTCTTCATTAGGTTTGCTTTTCGTCTTCTTTGTTTCTTCGACTATGGATCCGCTCGAAGCTTTCGCTGCAAGGAAATACGAGCCGTTGCGATGGATTCAAAGATTTGCTTTCGGATGAGGTTTGAAGGAGGACATCGTCCAACATGCTAGGAGATATGAGCTGGTCTATCGAGCATAGCCCCCATTTTTTGGTAGTTAGGAGCTGCATGATTGTATTGTTAACCTAAAAAAAAAAACAAACAAATGAAACAGTGTTTTTTTTTTTCAATTCAACTATTATCACACACCATTTTGCAAAAGTTTTATCACTTGATTAGGAACCCCTTCTTTATATAAGCTCTTGTTGTCTTATTTGCCCAAAATGTTATACCAAGTGCCTTTAAGCTTTATGCATTTGAGCTATCTTTATGGGTTAAAATTAATGTTGTTCATGTTCAGGGGACTTCAGATAGTATACATGTTACTCTTGTTGTAGCAGCTGTTACTGCTTTGGGGTTGTTTGCCTTCACATAGGTAAATGAGTTTATTCTTTTTGTTTTGTTTGTTGCTAGTATGTCATGCTACAACTCGAGCTCAAGAGTTTATGTTTTTAATAATAACAAATATTGTGGCTTACATCCTTATGAATACTTGTATTTATAATATATATATTTGTTTGTGTATGTACTAATATTTCAGGACCACTATACACCATCCAACAAAGATTCAAGACTCAAGATTGGATACAATAGGTTATGATGTAAAGATTTTTGTAATATTTATTTATGTATTTTTTATTTAATGAGTTAATTCTTGTAAAGGTGTATACTAACTTGGTGATCATGCACACACACACACACACTCAGGGAGAGTGAGATTGAGTCAAAACTAGATGTTCAAATTTTGAATTAATCATACTATATGATTTATATCGTACTATACGATTAGTTCATCTAACTAATTATATTGGATAATTTAGATCGTCTAGGATGATTAGTTATGATAATGAAAAATAATAATTAATCATATTTTAGGCAAGATTTTGAATTTCATACTTTATTCTAATCATCCAGGATGATGTACATCGTACTATAAGATCTATAACAATCATGCCTAAATTGATCCTGTGATTAGTCAATTGAATATGCTTAATTTTGATATTCTGATCATATTGTACGATAAATATAGATGATTTTGGTCATCCCATATTTTATCCTGGATGAACTGCATTTCGATTTATCAAATCGTCCCGAGCGATCTCATAATCATACTAGATGATCTGGCCAAATACTTGTAATGATCGTACAGGGAAATATTGATCGTACTGGTTAAAAAGGGTTATTTTGAACTAATCGTACAGGACAATCATACTGGATGATCTTCAATGACAGAATTGATTTTTTAGTGTTTTTGAAGCCCTTTATTTAAGCTTTCTCCAAAGACAATGTAAGTTTATTTGGCATGAATTGACTCTCTATTCTTTTAGAGAAAACTTAAAGAGAGAGCATTGAAAGGGAGAGAGGAAAGGGTGGAGTTTGAGAGAGAGAATATCCTTGTGGGTTTCAAGAGAGTATGGAAGGAGTTTTACACGGTTGCTTCGGCAAGCTTGCATCTTAGTACCATCGGATTCAAGGTTAATCTTGAGGAAAGTTTTGAGAAGAAGAAGATCTATTTGGTGTCAAAGAACCCAACTACCCTGCCACACTGGTGGAGGTGAAAGTGATTCAAGGTTCTCTATCTCACTAGGAGGGTGAAATGGAGTCAAGATTCTCTACCTCACTAGGAGGGTGAAAAGGAGTCAAGGTTCTCTACCTCACCAGGAGGGTGAAAAAGAGTCAAGGTTCTCTGCCTATGAAAGGATTTCGGTCTTCTACCGCACCGGATTGGTGGAAAAGAGTTTGTAAGGGCATTTCTGCTTAGCTGTTAGGGCTAAAGGAGAGTCACTAAAGAGTTTAGTGCAATACCTATAGATGGAGTCTCCGAGGAGTGGGTGTAGGTCGAGTTGACCAAACTACTATAAATCTCTGGTGTGTTTGTTCTTGATTTTATTTTACCACGATTTATTTTCCACATTTATTTTGTGTTAATTATGTGGTTGAAAATTTCGATTATTTTGTTGTTGTGAAATTTACTTTGCTTCCGCATTAAGGGATAAAACTATCTGTTTTTAGATGTTGAAAAAGCTTTAAAAAATAGGATTTTTCTTTGTGTTTGAAGAAGTTTTTAATAACCCTCACGAACTTTGAAGTGATTGTTTTTACATATATGGATCTTAATAACTTATGATGCATTGTCTTCAAATTTGTGGATATTGGAGTGTGGTGAAGGGAGATAGTAGTATGATAAATATTGATGGAAGGCAAAGAACATTGAAGTTTGAGAGAAATGAAATCAATTTATTTGTGTTGAAAGAATGAACTAAAGCAATTTGTCCATGGCTTTAGGGTCATGCCTTTGAGTTACACTATCATGACAATGAAACATCGCCTAAGATTTACATGCCAATTATGAGTTATATCGATGTACTTGACATGTTTAATAGTTCTAATGAAAGAAATATAATTGAGGTGGTGGTTCTAGTCACAATTCATGAAAAATTGGGCCAGCCACAAAATATTCAAAATGCATATGACATGCAATTAAGCGATAAGCATGCTTGAAGTGCGAATAGCAGGGATAATAATGACATGATATTAGATGGTCTGTGTGATGGTTTCCCTATGGCTCGGATTGAATAGGCAAATTCTTTACGTATTGGTTCGCATTTTGTGGATTCATTATGTTTCAAACAAGCAATTCGTTCCAATGCAACTTTATATAACTTTGCTATTAAGATTAAGGTTAGTGAAAAATTCAGAGTTATAGCTACTTGCTTATACCATAGTTGTTCATGGAGAATAAGTGCTTTATTATGTCTAGATGGCCGCTCCTTTGAAGTTAAAAAATCATATTCGATGCATTTGTGCCCAAGAGTAAACAGAGATGGCAACTCGTGCGATTCGGGTCGGGGTTGGAATTTCCGACACGTTTGCAAAAGTAGGTCGGGTTATGGTAAACCTGTTTAAACCTGAGTCAATTTGGGTTGGACCCGAATCTGATCCATTGACCTGTTTTGGCATCCCTACTGATCTCATTGTTGGAGTTCACAACAACTTTATGTTATAGCAGTGAGCTGGAGGAAGTGGCTGTGTATTTCAGAAATGTAATGATTTGCTTGTAGTGGTGGGTGACTTATCATAAATGTAGTAGTGTTTATAATATGTTTCTAACAATTAAAAAACAAAGATCCAATTCAGAAATCCACAAAAAACCCTTGTTTAAGATATATGAATTGAAGTTTTATAATGTATTACTAAATAAATTAAGAACTATTCTCTCTATAAGTGGTTCCAAATATATTCGATTGCAATAAAACAAACTACAACATTTGCACATTGTAGTTGATGGCAATTTCGAGCAAAGACGCGACAAGCGAAATAGGCAGTGTTGGCCTAATCACGTTACAAGATGTAGAAATGGAGCAGTTGAACAACAAACCTAGGCGACCTATTGCTGAGACCAAAGGCAGTTCGGAGCGAAGAAGAGGCGAGAAAAATATACAGTGTCGGGGTTAAACCCAGGACAAAGAAATGGAGTCGACGAACAGCAAATCTTAACAAAGAAATGGAGATGACAAACAACAAATCTATACAAAGAAATGGAGAAGACGAAGTGGCGATGCGAACCGCAGTTGCTGAGCGAAGAACTTTCAATTTGCAATCGGGGTGTGATTTTGATAGGAGGTAATGAGAGGGATACTTTAGATGAGGGGAATCAGGAATGGTTTTTAGGTGTTAGGTATGTAAAACCTAATTTTTTTTATATTAAGTAATTATTTATTATTATTTTTCTTCTAATTTTTAATTTTATTATAATAATAGTTTGAATCTGTTCAAACTCATAGATTAAAGCTTGCGCTTTAGCTCAAACTCTATTAATTTGATTATTATATTTATGCTAATTTTAAAAAATTTTAATAAGAAGAAATTAAAAAAACATTTACTGTAAAATTTATTAATGAATTGTACCGTAAAAAATTAGAAGAAAAAAAATTTCCGTCAAGCCTTACCATCAACTTTAAAAATATTGAAGCCGCCCCTGACCGTACCCTCAATATTTTTTATAAGCCGCCTAAAAACAGCATATTTTTAATCCACTATATTTTATAGACAATGCAAATAAATTAATCAACCAATAATACACGACAAACCTTGCCGACCAATTGGACCTCCGAAGAGAAAATCCAGTAAAAGACTTTGTTTCAAACAGTCAAAATTCAAAACAAAACGCTTCAATTTAGTCCAGCTTGATTTTCTATAATTCTATTGCTTCCGTTCCTACCCAGCTTGAATCCTCTTCTTTCCAATTCCTTACTAATCCCTACATATCGCATAAAATCCTAACCTTTCTCACCAATAGTTCTACCAAACATTCAATTTTCCTCACCGATTTATTCCCTCTCTGTATCTCTATATCTCTGTGTCTCAATAATGGCTTCCACCAACCCTGCAAAACTCATCATCCCCTAATGGCCTGCTTTCACTGTAAACGACCCTCGACCCGCAAAAGACACCGCCTTTTCTCCCGAGAAGAGCTCAACTCTGCAACCTCGGGCTTCTCCGCCTCCACTCTCCTGGGCCGCGGCAGCCACGGCTCCGTCTTCCTCGCCAAATTAGACAACGGCCGCCTCCTCGCCGCCGCCAAGCTCCCCGCCCCTCCTCCGCTCCAAGACCCCAGCACCTCCCCTTCCTCCTACACCGCCAACGAGATCGCCGTCCTCTCCTCCCTCCCCGCCTCACCCCTCCTCGTCAACCTCCTAGGCCGCGCCGCCACAGCTGACCCCATCGCCATCGTCGAGTTCATGCCAAACGGCTCCCTCGACGATCTCATCCACCGTCCAATTCACCACCCACCTTTCCCTTTCCCTCTCCGCCTCCGCCTCGCCCTCCGCGCCGCCACTGCCGTCGCTTCTCTCCACGCCCTCCACCCTCCTGTACTCCACCGCGACATTAAGCCATCTAACATTCTCCTCGACGCCAATGGTCGCGCCCGGCTCGCGGATTTCGGGTTAGCTGTCCGCGGACTGCCTTCGACCGCTGCGCCGGCGGGGACCATCGGGTATCTGGACCCGGTTTATTTATCGCCGGGGGATCTTAGTGTTAAGACAGATGTGTACAGCTTTGGGGTTGTTCAGCTTGAGTTGTTATCGGGGCGGCGAGCGATTGATGTTGAGTATAGCCCTGCTTCGGTGGTGAAGTGGGCGGTGGGGCTTATAGAAGCGGAGAGGTTCCGGGAGTTGTGGGACCCGCGAGGTGGGGTTCCGCAAAGCGTGGAAGAGGAGGCTGCGGCGCGTGACGTGGCTCGATTGGCGGCGAGAAGCGTGGGGTCGGCGCCGGAGAGGAGGCCGACGATGGAGGAGGTGGTGGCGTGCCTGCGTTCGGCGGGGCGGAAGGCCGGGTTTTGGGGAGAGGAGAAGTGTTGGTGGAAGCCGGCGAGGCGGGGAAAGGTGGCGGACGCGGCGGCGGAGCGGCGGCTATAGATAAATTAATCGGGACAGCCGACAGGGAGGGCGGTGGTAAATAATTGCGTATTGGTTGTATATAAAAATGGAAATATTTTTATTTTCTCGCTCGATAAAGGGTGAGAAAAAGCGGCGGATTTTACTCGTTGACCGGAAGGTGTGTGAATAAGAGAAAAAACGTAACGACAGCGTATGGAGCTGTGCGGTCATTTTGTGGGGTCTATATTGAGGGTGTGATATCTAGGCGGTATAAATGGTGGGTCCCATATATGGAAGAAAGGCGGCATGATGGAAGCTTGATTGTCTGGCTGATTGGGAAATGTCGAAATGGGAAGGATATCCGTTTTAATGTATTAATTCAAATTGTAGCTCAAGAAGTATTAAATTTAGGGAGGAAAACATTCTCAATGAAACCCTAATTATTTATGTTAAAATAATGAGGGGGATTTCATTGAGAGAGTGTGTTAGTTGCTAGCAATTAAATTTGTACACATAATTTTCTCTTATCTTAAATTATTTGATGATGTTTAATTATTATTAAATATATTTTAAAAATTAATATATTATCAAAAATATATTTGAACATGCATGAATCTAGATTCAATATTTGAAAGAAAAGTTGTTTAGATTAAATTCAGGACTAACTGAATCCAAATTTCAATGAATTCATAGTCGAATCGAATATTTCAACGAAAAAAAGTCCAAAGACATCAAAAGTGTTTCGATTTGACTCCAAATGTGAGAAAGTCAACACTTTAAGCGTAATTAGAAACTTCATTATATTAATTGAAGGACCAAATTATTTTCAAATTGTGCATTTTTATAACCAAAATGAATATTTTAACATGAGGAACCCAATAAGCTTAAGATGTAATAATCAAATTTGGGTTGACTAGTCCCTGCCTTATGTGCGGAACAAACCAGTTGAAATAGTGCAATTCCTCTTAACACTAGCTAAATTGAGGGAATGATGAAATCGCTCCGCACGCAATCAAACCTTCAAAATCGAATTGACCACGATCATCCCTCCATCGCTCGCAACCCTCTACCTTCTATTGGCAGCTTCAATCTTTCTGTGATTTTTCTGCCCTTGGCGTTACTTCTCTCACCATTTAAGACAAAAAGAATCTACAATATCATTTCACCTTCCCTTTGCGGTTGTTGAACCTCTCCCTCCTCCTTCATTGACAACAACTTTCTTTCTCTTAACAACCATGATCGGCGAACGTTTCTCAATCTCATGTCCTTCTATATTGAATTTCTTTTCCTATCCCTCTTTTTTCTCCTTATATTTCTTGTCACCTAGTTAAGAGTTTTTTCATGTTTAAAGTTAAATTATATGATAATAATGGCGATTTTGTTTATTGCGGATTATAGCTTACATGGGGGAAGGTCTATATTTTGAAGTTAAGATTTGGTTAGCATAAGTCGTATATATGTTGTAGCTTCTCAACATATAATAAATATTAAATTAAATTTATTTATGGGGGATCTTCCCATTTATGGTTTACTTAATGTGACTAGGATAACTGTAGAAGAGATCACAACTTGTGATAGTTAACAATATTAAAATTAATGGTGTGGCTTAGATCAATTAACTCAGATGCTTCGTAGTGCATGCTTACAACTGTTTGGTTTTGCTTCTTGTAGAACTTTCACTTTGTGAAAGCGTGCAACCTGCAATCGAATTTGGATTTAGTTTCAATCACTATAGGTAACTATGTTTATTAATGGATAAACATATCCTTCTTTGTTAGGGGCATTATCATTTTTAAACATACTAGGTTCCTTGATATCTTAAAGTATTCTTCTTGCTTTCAACTTCATTTGTTATTTTACATATGTTATAAATCTAGTTATTACTCATAATGAAGGTGTCATGTAGTAGATGCAACTCACCTTATTTCATTGATGCACACTCTTTTATCTGTTTGATGTGTTTCTTAATGTAAATAATTTTAATTATAAATCTTAGTTCTATTAAGTGTAATAAATGATACTCTAACATTAAACCATATTATTATATAATACATGTTAAAACTTACTTGTAAGAGTCTAGACAGTGTATGCTTGTATGTAGGTTGGTAGAACCCTATTGGATATTGAATAGTTAGTCTAACAAGCCCTTAAAGTGACCACTCTATAAGAAATTATTGAATTTTCTTGAGTGCAAGTTGTTTAAAAATCCAACAATAGTTATACATATATAAATGTATAGATTGTATAATTAGTCATGAGTTTAGCAAATACTGACAGATGTGTTATATAGAGGTATGATGATGTCTAGCATGATTATATATGCATAAATCTAATTAACATTACATTGGTTACAGGTTGATATGCACATTTGTAGTAGCAACATATTAGAACTATTGTAAGAATCATGACATATAATATTATTGCAATGCATTGATTGTTGGTTTCTATTCCTACCTGTTTATTTGATCATATTGCATGCCTCATTTCTTTACTATTTATGCTTTAATAGATAGGAGTTGCTTATTGGGTTTGATTTATCAAAGTTGCCAATGGTTCATTTTGTTCATAGAAGGTCCTACCGGAGCACTAGAGGGACCGCCATCTTAAAGAGTACACCTATCAGCAGTAAATTTTATATTGGGTACTTTAATATTTTTGGGGGGTAATTTATGTATTTGCTTTTTGAGAGTTGGATAGCTTTCTTCCTCTTATTGTTTATTTTACACTCTATTGTTTGTAATAGTATTATTATATCAATGTAATGTTAATTAAATTTATATTAATGAAATGAACATTTAATTTCTCTTCAATTATTTACTGAGATGTGTGTTCAGTTATATTATTTGTTTCTAGGCATCGTTGTCTCCCATCCTCCATTACTTCATAATCATCACCCTACTATTGTCACCCAAATATCAATGTCTTTACTTCAATGTTCACTATAACGTCAACGCATTCCATTAATGTTAAGGCAAATACATATCATCAACAACAATGTCAATGCCTGTCAACTTTGTACATGCCATTTCCAATATGGCTGATGCACATCATTAACACTAATGTTGAAATCTTTCAACTTTTTCATCAAATATTATCAATATCATGTCATTAACAATAAGACTAATATATGTTGTTAACAACACCACAAATGTCAATAGATTTTGTCCACCACCATTATCATTAACATCGGTGCACATCATCAACAATAAGGATTATGCACCTAATTGAAACCAATGTCATCCCCCACAATCATCAATAACATCAAAGTGTAATATCTTTAACATAACATATACATATCAACAACATTAAATCTAATGTATGTCATTGCCAAATTGGACACCACTTACCATCACAACACTAAAACCATATACAAATACTAAGGCTTATGTTAAACTTTTTGGTCTCTAGTCTCCCCTCCTCTAAGAGCAAAGATTAAACAAACTATCAACAATCTCTTAAAAATGACTCCAATGTCTTAAGGTTTCTCCAAATTCCTCCATGGATTCATATTTACTATATTATAGTAATTCCTTCCCTAATTATAGGGAAGTACATTATTTATATAATATAATATACATTAGTATAATCATTTCAGCTAGCTTTGGCCCTATGATTCTTATACAACATCATCTTTATTAATGATTGTACCATAAAGATATAGGCTTATTTTATTAAAAATAAATTTTATGTGTTTAAAACTTTTGTGAAGTGGGGGAACTTTGTGGAAAATGAAACTAGAGATAAAATCAAGTTGCTACAATCTAATGAACAATTTGATGATGACAAAGCGTATAATTCTATAGAATTCAAAAATAATGCACTGATATGGACCCGATAACTTTTTAGTAAAGTGAAGTAGTATAAATGATCAATAGGGCTCTCAATGAGCATAGAAGTAGTATGAGATTATATGGAGGTCTTCTAAAGACCTCCTGCATGGATGCAATAAATGTAACATAATATCTGATCAATCGAGGACCATTATTTGCACTCAAATTTGAGCTTCCCAAAGAAGCTTGGATAGGAAAGGAGATAGGTTTGTTTTGAAGGTTTTCGATTATTTATCATATATTTATGTTGATCATATCACAAGAAATAAGCTTAACTGAAAATCCAAGAAGTGCTTCCTCATTAGATAGTGTATAAAAAATTTTGGATATAGATTTTGCTATACTGAAGATAATAAATTTATAGAAGAAGAAATATTACATTCAATTAACCTATATTATACAAAGATAATTCAAGCATTACTGTAAAAAATACCTCCACTCTATAACACATTAAACCATATAAGGTACATGTCCCAAACCAAAGCAATAAATATTTCAAGAAACACAAAAGCAACATGAGCCCAACATATATATGGCCTAAACTCAAAAGTTCATAAAGAACTCACAAGCCAACTAACTATTCTTCTTCTTCACTTTTTTATATGCTACTTACACATGCAAGAAAGATGATGTGCTATAGTGAAGTTATGCAAGTGAAGGACTTTGTTAAGTAGGAGCCAATTATGAAATAAGAGATAGAATCACTTTATAAGAACTAAAGTTGGACATCGACCAAGATTCCTAAAGATAAAAAAGTGTTGCAAATAAATGGATAAATGAAGAGTAGATAGAAACTAAAAAGTGTAAGACAAGATTTGTTTTTAAGAGGATTTTAATAGAAACAAAGTATAGACTTTACATAGATATTCTCACATAGAGCTAAATTAATAACAAATCATCTAATATTAAGAATTATAATAACAATAGAATTGTACAATGAATAAACAAGTGTCAAAATAGCTTTCCTCTATGATGACTAGGAGAAATATATCTATATGGTATAACTAAAAAGTTTTGTTAAACCAAGAATGAAAGCCTAGTGTTTAAATTAAATAAAAGACCATATGACTTAAAATAAGCATCTCAATTGTGGTTCCAGAAATTGAATGGGTATATGTATATATAGGATTAAATTTTGCAACTGCCGTGTCGATCATTACTACTATAGTACTATGTCAAATAATATAAAAAAAAATTGTATTAATCTATTATTATATGTTGATAAGATGCTAGTTATAGGGAATGATATTAAAAAGTTCAATGATCTGAAGATGCAACTACCAAAGGAGTTTGACATAAGTAGAGAAAAGTGAAAAAATCTTTGAATGCGAATAAACCATAACAATGTCATTGTCACATTAAGTATTTCACAATCATAATATAATGAGAAGGTAGATAAAATCAATACATCAAAGAAAAAGATAGCTAGTACATTATTCACTAATCACCTTAGATTATCTAAGGAACATAAAATAAAAATTTAAGGGGGAAAAAGGCACACGATCATGTTGCCCCCTGTGTCAACTATTCAATCACTTATGTATGCAATGGTCTATAGATGATTTGAT